AGCCTCTCAGCCTCTCAGCCTCTCACCCTCTCACCCTCTCACCCTCTCACTCTCTCACTCTCTCACCCTCTCACCCTCTCACCCTCTCACCCTCTCATTCTCTCATTCTCTCATTCTCTCACTCTCTCACTCTCTGTCTTTCTCTCTTTCTCCTTCTCTTTCTCTCGCTTGGCCCTGACAGGCCGGCATGCCAATGCCATCATGCCATGGTAGGTCAGACATGCATATATATATATGGATACGGGCACAGGCTACCCTCGTACCCGCGCTCTTGATCTTAGACTATCCCGGTCACTAGGCACCCACTCAGCAAAGCCACAGCTTCTCCGCACCTCAACCCTGCCACCTTCCCACCCCGTACCTTTCAGAGTTCAGTAGCACGGAGTACATACATCTCAGTGCTCCTCCGGTCCGGCACTCGGATCTTTTACAGAGTACTAACTAGCCGGCTGCCTTCCCGTCGCGCTCGATTTCGAATCCGTCTCTACTACGGAGTATACACACACACATCCTTACTCCAACGCTGCTGCAGCTGCTCGAGACAGGGGTTCGTCGTATATTGACCCTAACGCCGCCGCACTCAGGAACCACCCCCATTGCTTATCATGCATGCGTTTTGAGGAACAGTTTTAGTTAGGAAAAACTCCCAACTACCTCGATACGCCTCACTTGGGCATATTCAGTCGTTCCTTATATTTACGATTTATGGTTGCGCCGGGAACGTTATTCCAAGGTTCCCTACCACAGGACGGACTCCACCGCTGTTTGGTGAACGACAACTGGGGGACCTGGACTGCACCAGATGCACGAGTGAGTCTATGAAGGCTCACATCGGGATGGAGAATGATCACCACCAGCTGGTGCATGAGAATGGAGATTTTGGGAATAATGGTGGGTGGATGGACATCAATCAGAACTACAATCTGTCTTCGCAACACCAGTCGCCAGTATACGAGAACGGGGTATTTGCTTTCACGCAACCTTTCCAGCATGATGCGCTATCAACAGAACAATCATTCACTCAGCAAAGGATGCCGATTCCACAAAATTCCCCTCCTCATACATCGCCCCAACTGTTATTACCTCTGATCATGCCTACCCATCCGACGTGGCCTAGTATGTTGACGAATCCAGCGACTTATCCGACACCACCTGTTGCGATTCCTGCAACTGTACCTCCTCTGTCTAAAGGGAATGGTAAGAAACTACCGGCAATCCACGCGGCTCCGACTCCACGGAAGACACTCACGGACAGTGATCGGAGGAGGATGTGTCAGTACCATGAGGAAAATCCAACTATTAAGCAGACAGACATCGGAGGTGAGTTCCAGTAATGATAATTTATCATGAGCTTTTCTCCCCAAATCCCCACAGACATCTTCCTTCCAGGAAACCGAATACTTGAACCCCCAACTAACTCATCACAGCGATGTTCGGTGTTGAGAGAAGGTACAGTTCAGCGTTTGATCGTGCTCTGCATCAGCTAAACTGTGTCAGTACCGTCTCAAAAGTGCTTCGCCAAAAAGAGAAATTCTTGTTTCCCGAGGACCGAAATCTATCGCCAGTCAAGCGTGCCAAAGGCAGCAAATATCCAGACATTGAGAGGACCCTTTCCAACTGGGTCAGGAAATCCCAGCAGCAAGGCCAACTGCTGACGGACGATGATATCAAACAAAAGGCTCGATACTTTGCAGCCAACATCCATCCCAACGCCGACAGCCATCTGAAGACGAACAGCGCCGCTTGGCTTGAGAAGTTCAAGCAGAAGAATAAGCTAGGAGGCGCAAAGTTAACCAGAAGAGCCTCAGAGACCAACATCTCTGACAGTGGCTCGTTGAATCCAGAGTCTGCGGGACCATCCTCGGCTTCGCAAACGCCCAACGGAATATCACCGAAATCACCGAGTGGCTTGCCTTCACCGTCACCTGTATCTGCAACTAAGAGCGAGGAGGACCTCAAATCCGATAATATGGACGAATACTTCGCCAAGGAGAACGGGGGTTACCGGCATTCGAATTCACGCAGTACAACATCTTTATCGAGTGCCTTTACAGATACAGCGCCTTCGTCGTTCTCGGGAGGACCTACAAGCCCTACAACCCCTTTTGCATTCTCTTCTGATCAGGGTGGCTCCTGGCTACCATCGCAGCAAGCCCTTCTTTCGCTACCTCCTGGAAACGGCTTCCAGCGGCCACGAAGCCAGACATTCCCTACGCTTGGGATTGACCCTTCCTTCATTTCCTCCCAGAATGATGAGCCCCTGACCCCGAAGTACAACGTCCCAGTAACCTCTCCATCATCAGCTCTGGACTCTCCGATCCATGAGATGCCACATCCCTTCGGCATGGACTCGGCAATCTCCTCGCCACCTCTGCACTCCTTGCACCACAGCAGCAGCAACGGATCAATGGCACCCCCACAACCAGGGACTCCAATCACCGGGCTGATATCACCCCCAGGATCCTCAGCACCCGGCTCTCCAACCCAAGACGACGCGCGACGGGCTCTCGATACGCTACTCAACTTCATCAGCCAAGCCCCCAGCGGCCTCGTTGATCGGGACGAGTACTTGACAGTGCTGAAGCTCACGGAAAGACTGCGACTCCAGTCCAGCGGCGCGCTTCCAGGAGGACTCCATCGCATCGCAGAGCAGGATTGTGAGCTCACTGCGCCAAAGATGGAGCAATCCATGAGCGCAGGCTGTTAACACACACACCCACACACACCATCAACAACAAGGATTCCGCCTCCTCAAAAACTCTTCTCGTTAATCTCGGAGCACATTCAGAACCGAAAACACATCTCATTCGGCCCCGTCTTTACAAGCATCGCACAGCACAGCACGTTCCCGGCGTTGTGTCGCCCCTTTTCCTTTTCCGGATCAGATCACTGTATACCCAGCACCGGCACCAGTACCATATATCATATACCATCGAGTACCCGTCCGGTTCTCCCGCAGCAGCGATTCGCTGCTACATTCGATTCACACCCATGTCCTTATCCGAATTCTATTGCGTACACCACTTCTCTTCTCTTCTCTTCTCTTCTCCCTCTTCTTCATCTTCATCTTCATCTTCTCTCTCCTCTCCTCTTCCCACCCACACTATTTGAGCACCTACACCTGCACGGGGAAAGGAGAACGGGAACGGGGAAATGAGAAGAGAAAGAAGAAGAAGATGAAGAAGAGGAAGAAGAAGAAAACCGATAAACTACTCACCACGCTCACGCGGAAAAATCAAAAACCAGCGATACTTTACTTTACTTACATACCTATTTACCTTACCTTACATACTTATTTTATTTGTTTCTTTCTTTCGATCTCTCTTTTCTTTCCACTTTGCTTCTACTAAGCAGATGATATTTCCCCGCCTATATATTCTTGTCACTACTTCCATTCGTTCTTCGTCCTTTCATCCTCCCTTCCTTTCCTTCCCTTTCCTTTCCTCTTCTCTCCTTCCCCTCCCTCTTCTACCGGTAGTCAGTAAGCGAGCGCGCGAGCGAATCCAGAATCCTTTTTTCCTTTTTTTTATACTATAAAAAAACTTCTTACTTTTCCTCTCCTTCCTCCTTTCCTGGCAACGGGCAACAGCGATGAAATGCTTCTTCTTAATACCTAATGTGCGCCACGCCAGAGCCAAGGATGCATATCACATTATAATGTCATCCCCAACATACATATTCATCATAACTCCAGCCGCACTCAAGTCTTCAGTCCTCAGATCTCTCTTCCCCTTCTCTTTTCCCTTCCCTTTCTTTCTTTCTGCGTTTTCTTTCTTTCCTTTTTCTTTCTTTCCTTTTTTTTTTTTTTCCTTCTTTTGTTTGGTTTTTTCTTGTTTTTCGTCTTGGAATTGGAATTGAAATTGGAATTGGCAACAACGAAAGACGGGGCAAAATCGCAAGATAGGATAGGAAGGAGGAAGGGTGGGATGGGATGGAATGGGTGTTTTGTTTTGTTTTGTTCTGTTTTGTTTATTCGACGTTTGTTACTGCTGCTGCTGCTGCTGCTGCTGGTGGCGTGAAAACTCGTCCGTGTTAAAGGAAGGAAGGAAGGAAGGAAGACTGGATGGATGTAGCGGGACAGCTAGTTATTCATCTCAGGGGTCGGGTCAGAGTCAGAGTCAGAGTTAGGCTCGAACGGACGGACAGACTAAAGGAGGTTGGTCGGTTCATAGTCGGTTTTAACATCAATCAAAAAAAGGGCGGCCCTATCTGACATATTGTTCCAAGAGGCCTCTTTCTTGACAAGCTCTTCCGTCCTAATGTCCTAATCCCTTTCCAAGAGAAAGCTGCGCCATGGGCGTGGGGATCTTTGCATTTACATCTATCAATCTCATCATCAATATCTCGCTGTGTCTAATCGACTAATTCAGCCTCTCCTCTAACAACTCCTCGATGCCCTTCTCAGCCATCTCCGGCATCAACCTCACAATAATCAGCTCCACGATCCCGTACAGCAGATGCTTGTTGCAGTACGCATCGTCGAACACATTCAGGGCCTCCTCGACCTCCCTGACCCTGCGCTCGATACCCGGCCCGAAGTACACGTCTTGCACTTTGGCTGGCACGAGCGACAGTAGTGTCTCGGCGCATTGACGACGTATAAGCAGCTGCTCGGTGGGAGAGGGGATCAGGCGCGGGGGTCCAGGAGCGTTGTTGGGGAAGAGGGCAGCGCGTGCGATGCGCAAGACTTGCGGGAGGAGTGTTGGGTCCAGCAAGTGGGTTTGGATGGCGTGGGAGAGTATTCTGGAGGGACTATTGTTAGCGATTTTGTCTGGCCAGTTGGGGAATAGACTCCAGTCAGTAAGCCCTGCGGCCTAAGGTCGTGCAGAAGAATTGAAGAGATGCAGAGTTGACGGAGTGAAGAAGGATGGCTGCGAGAGAAGATCCCGACAGCTACATGTGAAGAAGTGAAGAACGCAGTGAAATTGTGGCGCTCGCAGATGAGGCCGCAGATGGCCATCGTCCGTATAACGGCGCACTATAGCCAGCACGAGGCGAGAAGAACACAAGTGGCTGACGTCGTAAGGGGAGGGGTGCGGTACAACGCGAAGCAATCGGATAAGAGGCCCTGTCAACTAATTTCGCCGGGCGCGTAGGGAGGGCTGCCGTAAGGCTTGCCCGGTCTCGTCTCCAAGACTCGCTGCTGGATATTTGCAAGGGTGGCATTGGACAGTTATGCGGATAAGACACCAAAAACGCTGAGGGAAAGCGAAGACAATTCCCTTGATGGTGATTATCGGCAACGGGACAAAATGGACAACAGTGGGCTGATATAGCCTGATGCCAATTGCACGGAACTGACAGCCATGCTTCTCAATGGAATAGATGCGACAAGCGGCGATGTTCCACAGCATCAATAAGTGTTGAGTGTCGAAGGAACGACATTATGACAAATGAACCGTGTTCCCGCTTCCGAGGATAGCAAACATATCATGCATAGCGAATAAAAAAAATCAAAGGTTTGCGCACCCAGAACCGAGACTTCGTGTTCTTCAACGTAGCTAAGACAATCGGAGTCAAGTGATCGATATCTCATGTGGTGTGACAGGCGATTACGCGCCTGTATCAAGACAGCAGGAATTTCGGAGATCTGTCACTTACTTATCGACCATTCCGTCCGTGATACCGACTTCCCCAGGCCCGGTAATAGCAGCCCACTGGAGGAGAGACAGTGTGGCGTTCAGCCACGGCATTCGGGCCTCTAGATCCAGAAGATCAGAAGCACAAGACCATATCTTCATTGTCAGAATAGGTTGTTTGGATGATATTTGTCGTTTCGACGCGACTGGATCCGCGTCATCGTACCCATTCGCTGACCTTGAGCCATTGATTTTCGTCGAAGGCTGAATACGAGAAGGCAACGAGGATGCCGTGGCCAGGGTAATGAAGAAGAAGCGGACCGCGGTAAAAGCGACGAAGCCATATTGAAGCACGAGCCAAAACGTTTTCTGAAGCGAACCACCAAGTCCCCACAGCTTCATGCCTTTTGCAGTAGCATTAAGCGGAGTGGAGCCCCCCAGATCTGAGTTTGATCTTTGAACACGGACCTGTGCCTTTGACTGTGGGAGGCGGGTCTTGATGACCTCCGCAATTTTCGTGATACCGTCCCAGAGCAGCCAGGGTTCAGAAGCTTTGCCCCCTATGCCACCGCCCAGGATCATCTCAGAAAATATCTGACCAACAAGGCTAGTCAGACAGTCGTTTTCCAAGTCCTCTGTCGGCAGTAAAACAGCCAAAACTCCTTGTACCAATAGCTGTCTGTATGTGGACTCGTTCCTCATTTGTTCCAGGATATTTTGGCCGCCATCAGGGACGGGAGACAGAGCCGGAAAGGGCCATAATGAGTGATATATATCTCGGGGACTTGATTCGACCGGACTTGGATGCAGAGGTTGACGGGAAGCTCGACATGCTATGGTGCATCAGCAGCTAGACACAATCTCGTTCCCAGACCAAATACCTTGCACATGAACGCTTAGCAGCTCTGGCAGCTCGTCAAGGAGCAGGCTTTCCAGATCGACCTTCCGCAGCCTCTGTTCTAGAGCCCTTGTGCAGTGGGCTATGATTTTCACCACCTCCTCCACAAACACTTGATCCGGGGTGATCTTTGAGTACCAGACCTGGACAAATTCCCGGATTATGATAGATATGAAAGCGTACAGCTGCAAGTCGACCTCATTACTGCTCGTCAAGGGCGGCAGCAACTGATCTATGGGCGCCGGGGTGTTTCGACCCTTCTCCCCCAGCTGCGAACACAAAGTTCGCCGTATCAAGAAGAGGGTAGCGCGGTCCGACACGGGATCCGCAGAGGGAGGGCGGACATTTGAGTGGGATACTGGTGTCTCGGGCTTCGTTTGCGGATCTTTCGTGGCAGAGGCGGACTGCGAGGAGACGTTCGAGGTTGCCAGGGCTTTGAGGCGTGGTTGAAGTCGCGACATTGCCTGCTAGCGTAGGAGGCTTCGAAGCCGCGAGTATCATGGACGAAACTTAAGCTTGCAAGGCGCCTTGGTCATGATAACCAGAGCCTTTTATGTCACTCTACATGGTGAAGGCATCTTTCTTCGGTGATTGGAGTGGGTTGTCTTGCAAGAGCTCTGACTGCAACGAGAGGTCGATTAATTTTGTTGCCTGAGGCCAAATAGCACGAATAAGGTTTAGATTAGCCTTACTTCCCCCTTTCCTTCTCGCCAAACTTGTTCCATCATATCCTTTCCCACTTGAACGCCTAGGTTTCTCATGTCGGTTCTGAAATTGAGGAATTGTAATACTCGTGTGCACAGCGTATCTACTCCCCAGGCTCTTTCAGAGGCATGGGAGCGCTTAGCAGGTGAGTGGGGCCGGGACTTCCCGAATCCAGCAATGAACCAACCCAGATCTGACAAAGTAAATAAAACCTCGCTTCAGTCAAACGAACATATGTCTCTTCGGCTAGAATGCCGACAATCGGCTGACTTGTACATATCCAGCCATCATCCAGTCCATGGGCTTTAGAAATCACTTAACAGCACAGCTACCCCATCCAGTTCCACCCTATTGCCTGATCTTTCCCCAGCGTGGATACTAGCTACGAAGTAGGTAGGTAGCGATGCCATATTAATATCAAGCCACGGCAAGTCGCTTTGAGAATCACGAATCTTTGGTTCTAACTATACTTGAAGCGCTAGACTGTGAAAGTTCAATCAAGTAAACAGTCTCATTACATCAATACATATTTGAAGGTGGACGTAAATCGAGGAATCGTCAGTCGTCAATCTCCATCCAAAACATCATACTTTTAATCTTCAAAATTTTACTCCAAGGCGAATTGGCTCTTCAAGTCCAACCAAGTCCTTAGTCCTCCTGGCGTATTTGTTCCATTTGATGGATACTGAATCCTTCAGGAAGCCCAAACCATATCAAGCATTCGTCGACGAGGCGAAAGTTCTTTGAATGCGCAAATAACAAGCAAGCAAGATTCTTGATTTAATTGGGTTCAAGTAGCCACTCGCAATTCGTAGAATGCCAGTACGATCATTTAACAGACGAGAGCACCGCGAGTCCTTGATACCGAATCAAGAGCAACAGGGACGACCTAGAGGAGTTTGAGTAGCCCGTCTGCCGAGATGGGCGCTCGCCGTCCTCATGGCTCCGACAACGACAACTCACTTCCCACTGTTCACAACAGCGTCCAAGAAGACGACCGTCCCTCTGAGATTGTCTGTACTATTACTGACGACAGACAACTCCAGCCATCGTGGGACCGTCGCAAATGTATTTATTGATTTTCTTATACAGAGTTAAGAGAACGGTTGACTTCACGTTCGAGGTTGCGAAATTGGCTACTTGGATCCCAGCAACTTTGGAGACGTGGAGAATTTCGGGTACGGCATTTACTCAAGCCAGAATGTCGAGAGCGCCTGCACTGTAGCCGGCTGTCTTTTCCAGTGCTTACGCCCGAGCAAGCAATCGTCCCACCGATATAGCGATATAGTGTTGGCGAATATCTCTTCGAAAATTCGAGAGAACTCGCCGGTTGCGAAATGGGCTACGCTAGGTAGACTGGCATGCATCTATATGAAGTGGAGACCATTCAAGTTGGTAAAAACAAACGGACCAGTCTCGCTATGCTGCCGAGCCTGACAACAGCATCAAGCAAAGAGAAGAAAGCCGCGACAGTCGACATAGCTGCTATGAAAAAAGTACAAGATTCGTAATTTCCTATCGACCCAATTTTCTTGGTCTCCATGAAATCGCAAGGGAATTCTACAATCTCATATCCGATTCCTCTCTCTACTCGGCAAACCCACCAAAGTCGGATAACTGCTCGCTGCCTCTATCTCCGATACTGCCCATCCATGTGACCGGGTAGATTGACGTCGAATCCGACGTCGTATACAATGAAGAGATGCTCATACCCATCTGAACGCCGCTATCCCACTTTCTCCACTTTCGAACCTCCCACCGTGGAGAAGTCGTAAGGCATTCCCAGCCACGCAGAAGGACAACAGGTGATGAGCAGCTATCTGAGATAAGGAGTGTGCCAGATTAGCTGGCACGCGTAGGCTTGGGCTTCAATGGCTCGTTGACGGCCGCCAGTTCAGAATTCGAATCGATGATGGCGGAAGGATGAAATTCTCCCTACTACTTCCGGCGACCAATGCACAAACTCTTTGCTTATCTTTGGGATGGGATTTGATATCTTGGCGACACTAAAGATGAGCGTGATCCCACAGCAGGGAGTGCAGAGGCACGATATCTCGCAGTGGGGCTCTCTTTTCAGGTTTCTCTAGGTGTGGCATGGTATTTCGCTCGTTTGAGATGTGTTCCTCCAGGCTTCTCCGGCTTTTCCATTAATCTGGACGCTATTAACACGCTATTAAGGGGTAACTTAGGAGATAACTCACACACAAAAATCAAGAATGGAATGATTGAATAGGCAGGAAAAGATGAGAACGTCTGTTAAAAACCTATGAAACCCCTACGACTGCCTCCCTCCCTTGAAAAATTCTCTCCTTATCGTGAACAGTACATCTCCCTCGCCCGAACGCGGATCGCTGGCTATTTGATCGATCTACACCGGGTATTTGCCTACCTACGGTGGTTCGGTCTCTACCAAAACCACCCCGCCTTCCGCTGTACTTCTTGAGCGGCGACCCTTTCGACGATCACAGTCTCGTTCATCCCCTCATTGATGATTCGAAGAGCCTCGTCACCTTTGGGAATTTCCCTCGTGATATTTTCATAGCCGTCTTCCGTGACCAAGATATCGTCCTCAATACGAACACCGCCAACAGGGTAGTATTTTTCGAGCATGTCCTTGTTGATGTAACGAGAGATGCGATCATCTTTCAACCATACCTCTTCCATGGCGTATCGATTGAAATAGCTATTTGACGTTAGTCAGGCTACCCGGTGGGGGGTGGAGTATTTATTGAATTGAACACGTACATCCCCGGCTCGACCGTAATAACCATGTTTGGCAAGAGCATAGATGCAGCCCTGAAAAGATGGCAATCGTCGGCAAAGACGCTAATCTGGCAGTCTCTTTCCTTACCCCGGACATTTTTGAGTAGCAAAAGACCCCCGTTACCAACATCATGTGTCTCCAAGCCCAGGTAGTCTGTGAAAGTCAATAGAATTCATGGTTTTGGAACAGGGGAGAGCATACGACCGAGACCATGCGGGAGGAAAGCTTTGGAAGCGCCAGCTACACAGATCTCTTCAGCTGATCCGTTGTGAAGAAGCCCAAGCTTCAATAGACCCTCAGTGGCAATCGCATGTGCTTTCGAGTCAATGTCGCGATAGTCGGCATTGGGCTTGACCATTGCAATGCATTCTTCCTGCATCCTCGCGACAAGGTCGTAGATTTCCTTCGCCTCGGTGCTATATTCTCCAGAGATTGGAAATGTCCTCGTGACATCCGAAGCGTAGCATTTCCACTCGCATCCCGCGTCAAGGCACACCAGTTGTCGACCCTCCAGCGACTCATTGTTCTCGCTATAGTGGAGCGTACTGGCGTTGGGGCCCGAGCCAGCGATGACGCCGTAAGCCTGTTGCTTCGCTTGATGAGCGATACAAGTGGATATAAACACAGCCTCAATTTCACTCTCGTTCTTAAAAGCCTTGACGTGCTTCAGCACATTGACATGAGCTTTTGCAGTAATGGCACAAGCCTTTCGAATCATCTTGATCTCGTATGAGCTTTTTATGACTCGTGCTGCATTCATTGCTGGCATAAGGATATTGCTGTTGAATCGAACCTTCTTCTCGCTCTCAGCTGGCATAGGTCGGAACACATGAGAAGCAAAGATTTCGTGATACTTGTGGAGTAAAAAGACGGTAGGTGTCTCCTCATGGTGGATGAAGCTCTTGACATACTCGTCAAGTCTGTTGTTATAGTCGACGTGGTCGAAATCAGAATTCTCCTTTACTTCTTCGCGGCTGGGACTTGATCCGTTGTAGATTACACGGAAGCCACTACTGGTCGGAGGAATCCACTTTAGCAAGGTTAGCTCCGAAGTTTTGTAGTTATAAAATTTGAGGATGCTTCAAGGTCTTGGTCGCTCTGGAAACATGTCTCCGTGGCTTCGGATCTCGGAACAAGGAAGAAAGGGGGTAACATTTTGTACATACTGCTCGGAGATCATTACGGCCAACATCGAAGGTGACAATGCAATCAGGAATTGTGAGTCCGCTGAGATAGTAGAAGTACCGCCGTTGGCGAAAATGTACCGCTTCATCCGAGTCCTCGTACTCTTTTGACGGAGTACCAGGGAGGAACACCAATCCGCTCTGGACATTTAGATGCTTGGCCACTGATCTGGCGTGCTTCTTCGCTTTGGATTTTGGTTGTCAGCATTCCTTCTTATGCTGCCCTCCTCATCATGTCCTTGCGGCTTGCGAAGCCGCGCATAGATCCCTCGGGCAGGAACATATCTAAACTAACCAGGGTATATTTCTGCCCGCCGTTTGCTGACAGATCTGTATTTGTTTTGTGAGCAAGGTATTCGGTAAACGATGAACCGTGACCGATTCTAAGATTTGAACGCACGTACACCATATCATCAAAGTCCTCAACATCAATACTCCAATTACTACCTCGTGAGGCTGGTCTCGCGTCCATCATATCCATATTATTCGACTCGATTAGAGGCTCTGCAAGTATGGTGGATTTCTGTGTAGTGGACGGCTTGGAGTTGATGATTGATATTGGGGTTGATATTGGGTTTGAGGCTGAGCCTCGGCTGTTTCAATTGACGACATGTCTCTCTCGTAGACTCAGATTACTTATCTAACAATCTCAAAAGGATTGAGTCGCAACTCCATCTCTACCGTATATATTCTGGCACAGAGAGTCCCTCTGACCGTGTGTGTTTACAATCTTGTATCGCCCCGCAATACATCTCTTTAAACCGTCTCGCGAGTTATCTTCTGGTTCCGCTCTTCGCTGTAACAATCCGTCTTGAACACCAAGCTGCTTTCACTACCATCAGAATTGGGTCTGACCTCTCTCTGCATGATCACCGTCTTCTGGATCTTAATATCCCCCGACCCCCCCGTGGTGTTTATCTTGCCGGCCGCATAAACATTTGAGCCTCCCATGCATTTACTGCCCCCGAAGCTGCTCTTCATTGCGAAGCTGCCATAGTGTGGCGCGTCGGGTGCGTTGTTCACGTTCGAGCGGCTACAGCTTGTACTGCGGGTCGAGAAAAGTCTAGGCGCGACTCTCGAGATGAGAGGCTTGATGGACGGCAAAGAGGCGCATGCAATCGCAACGTTGATTTCAATGCCAGACCAGATTCCAGCGTTGACTCCGTCCACTGTACTCTGTAAGTACATACGGCAGACTAAACCATACTGTTCTAAGGGCGCGACTTACAGGTCGTATCGGTTGAGGCGGAGATCTCATGTAGACTCTTTAGACGAATCACGCTTGTCACACATACACTATGCAAACTTAGTCAGTAATTGTTCTTCAAGCCAGAGAGATTTTATAATAAGCCTTACAAAGCCCCGAAGCCAAACACAAACATGAGTCCAATCTTCTGCTTCTTTGGAAGCTGCAACTGCTTCAACAGCGGCATCGGAATCGAGAAGATCAGAATGTCAGTCGCAATGTTCAGCGCCGCATTCGAGAACCAAAAGGCCGTCTTCTCCATGCACCCGACCGAGATTCCCGTGTTCCAGAAGTTCGACACGGGCAGACACATGAACGTGGAGCCGAAAACGGCCCAGAGCCCGTACACGCTCAGGATGCCAATCATGATGTTGCAGAGCCGGACGATCTTTCGGGCGGTGAAGATTCGCTTGTACTGGAAGACGATGGAGATCTTGGTGAGCACCACTTCAGGGCGCAGGCATCAGCAGTGTTTCTTTCCCCTCGGTCAGGATTCTGGGGAGGAGGCGCGCTTGGGCGGAAAGGCCGAAGATTCAAGATATATACGTACGAGCAAGATTGTACGTTGGGATCGTTGCCCAGAGACACTTTCCGACTTAGCACAGCTGACATCATGACATCCTCGAAAACGCACCTGCAGGAATTTGAGCACCGTCGCTTCGGACAGCGTCAAGAACGGTCGTCCGAGGCCATTTTGGATCTCTGTCGAAAACGTCAGAAGGGATGGCAAAAAGCTTCCATCGATGCCTTTCCCTTCAGCCCACTTACGGTAGAAAATGATCACACAGAACCCGATTGAGGCGGCCTTAGATATGTGAGCTTTCATTTCCGTTTCCGTTTCTGATTTGATGAGACTCACCATAGCACCGATTATCAGATAGTCGTCTGTGAAAGACATACACGTACTATCAGCAATGTCCTTCTCTCTCTCGCGCGCGCGCGCGTGCGAGGGTGTACCAGCGTTGAAAAATTTCTACGTACCCGTGCCGGCATTCTGAAGCATAAAGTGGCGGGTATAGAGTCTCGCGACGACACAGATGAATGCCACCGACGTGAACAGAACACTCGTCACCACAGCCGGGACGCACGTCGCCACAATCTCGTACGCCATGCTGAAACTACTACTCGCACTTCGAATATGTCTCTCGCTGATCGTGTCGGTCAGTCAGTCAGTCAGTCCCTCGTTTCGGCCTGAGCTCTTCGACCTCAAAAGAATGCCAAAAAAATTCTACTCGTGCTCGTACTTGTGCTTGTGCTTGCACTGATATGTGATCTGACCTGGTCTCTCTCTGGATTTTTGCGCGCCCGCGTGGGAACCAGAGGCGTACTGTACCGCGTATCATCTGTACCGGAAGGGGGAAAAAAGAAAAGAAAAACCCGCCTTTCGAGATGGGACATCCCGCATTGTCTCGCTCCAGTCCCGTTCACATTCCATTTTCTCTATGGCCCTGGGAATAATGCTCGGGGGGGGGGAGTTGCATCTCGTAAGGAAACGAAGGAGAGGCCCGCCTTCACTTTCTATCACTTGACGTTTTTTTTCGGCCCCCCTGGGGCTCATATGCCATCTCCGACTCCCGTTCCTTCCCGTGCCGTGCCGTGCCGGGCTACGCTGCTGAAGTGATGGTTTTTTTTAACGGGCTTTTCTGGGCTCGGTGGTGATGATGATGGCGATCATTCTCACGGCAGGACGGGACGGCACGGACGGAGATACATATATATTGGGTGTATTAGCTAGCTAGGTTACCATAGTTATATTTTCCATGTCCGTGGGCCATCCATCATTTCCAAAACGCCCTTCCTCTCATCTCCCATCTCTCATCTCCCATCTCTCATCTCTCATCTCTCATCTCTCATCTCTCTCTTACTCCGTGCAATGTATTTCCCCCTCGCCCATCCCATCCCATCCTATCCGCCCACATCCGCTTAAAAGCTTAGCTAGCGTCTCGCTTAACAATTTTTTTTCCCCCCTTCTTCTCACAAACCGTACATACGATATTAAATCTTCTTGCTGGCTGCAGAGTATAGCAGTGATAAAGCGTCTGTGGTTTAGTGGTAAAATCCATCGTTGCCAAGTGTCATTTACCTGACAGTCAGCACTCGATGGGCCCCGGGTCCGATTCCCGGCGGACGCACATAACATCCTGGGCGTGAGGCAGACCCCGTGCACATTGTTTTTTGCTTCTTTCTTGCTCTGAAAAAGCTCCTAACAATTCAGCTCCGCAGCCCGCTCCGTTATCTTGTTCCTCTACGGAACCGAACGAAGCCCCTGCAAGCGGGGGAAGGGGGAGGGTCCGCATATTCATCTAGGGATACCCAGCCAACCAAGCAGCAGGCCTCCGGGGATTTAAAATCAAAAAAGGTTCATCCCGCCACCCCCTCCCGCTCTCTCCTTTCGGGAAACATCAGCCGGCCGTTGTAGTTAATGCTGGGACAGAACCCTCTCCCCCCCCCAAGGTAGCTAGCTGTCTTGCTTGCATGGTTTGTAACTTGCCGACTTACCTACCGAAAGATCTCATCCCCAACGGTTTTCCAAGCGTTTTCACCACTGGGGGAAAAAATGTATCAAGCCCGACCGATTCACAATACACAACACACGATATATTCATTTCGTATCAAAGTAGAAACATTTTGCTAGCACGACGCGGCACACACGTAGATGTAAATTAGAATCTTATATTAACGAAAATTCTATTCGCCCCGAGAACAGAATATGGTGGCTAAGAATTCTGCGAGTATAGAGCTGCATGTTTCTCGGCAGGAGCGTCAATATGCATGTTGAACTCATGAGCGGGGTCAACCAAAAACAGAGCCGCTGTAACGGCAATCCAGAAATCAGCACGCGCGTACATTGAAGACGTGGGCGAGCCACCAGGACGGACACGGACGACTCACCAATAGCAGCGACAACGGTGAAGCAACCCGCAGCAACCCAGACATATCGGAAACCAAGGCTGTACGCCTCAGACAAGCCCCCAATGCCCGCTCCAATAATCTCTCGCGTGACACCGGGAACCGCTTGCAGAGCCGTGGTATTGGATGCTGCGAGATCGCCGATGAAGGCTGTGAGAGAGCTCTCTGGAAGCCCCAGCGGCATGACCGCCGCGGCGATTCTGGGACCAATGTTCGCAGAGAGCCTCCCGGAGAAAATGGCGTTGTCTAGATTTCGAGTCGTTAGTACTGAAGACCTAGAAGTGGCTGCTCTGACTTGCTTGGGGGACCTACAAACCGCGAGACCAATCGACCCCCCCAGAGACCGGACACCGATCATCAAGCCGGACGCGATCGAGATCAGCTCGGGAGGGGTGCTGAGTTGAGCGACGGTGAGCAAAGCACAGAGACATATCCCCAGCCCGATACCGAGGAAGATGGGATAAGCCCAGACAGCATCTGAGGAGCCAGGCGTGGCTGTCGCCATACAGATGAAGAAAGTGATCATGGAGCAGAATGCAACGACCGTCGGAATGCGGACCCTCTTGGTGCTCGAGCAGAAGGCGCCAGCGATACAACTGAACATGGTGTAGACGATAAAAGTGATCCCGTACCGGATGCCGGTTAGCAGAGGGTCGGTCTCGTACAGAACACTGACTTCAAATGCAAAGTAGTTGTTGGCTGCGAAGAAAGCCAGTCCCTCGACGAATACGCATATTAAGGCGATCACGAAGTTCCAGCCATGCTTAAACAAGTCATGGTGGAACATGCCGTCCTTCTTGAACTTAGTTTCGTAGATCGCGAGGCAGGCAGTCAACGCGATTCCGGTGATGAAAGGTGCTAAGATATGGGCGTTGGACCATGAGTATGGATTCTGGGACCAGGAGAGTCCCATACTGAACAGCACGAGCCCTGAAGCGAGGAAAAAGTATCCAATCCAGTCGAGCTTCCGCAACTTTTCGATGTGCGTAAGCCTCAGTTGAGATTCCCGCGTAGGAGGGTTGTAGAGCACCGCGCAGAGAATTGTTGCTATAGTGTAGAGAGCTATCCCATCGTCAGTAATGGATCCCGCATACCAAGAACGGAACAAGGCCGAAGGTCCAAGGCGAGACAACATCACCGTGACTATAAATTTGCGATTACACAAAGGAGAGAAAAACTTAACATCCGAGAAGCCAAATCTCACCGGTCGACATGTACCAATAGTTTCTGAACCCCAGATGGTTGGCGTTTCTAGTCATGGCACCTCCAACCAGCAACGCAACGAGTCCTCCCAGAGCCGCTGCCACGTTATCGGCTGCCTGCGCAAAGGGCCGGTATTTTCGTGGCAAAACCTCCGAAGCGACAGCGTGTAGCAGAGGCTGGGCTCCGTAAGATATTCCAATCACCACTTCACCCGCAATGGCCATGTCCATCGAAGTGGCACGCGCAACGATGACCGACCCTACAGCACCACAGCCTGTGAGGATGATCAGAAACCATCGTCGTCCCCAGTAATCGGCAGCTTGCGCAATGGGAGGGCTGAGAACTGTAGTGATGATGGCAATCGCGGAGGTTAACCACACTGACTTTGTCGATCCACCAACTGCCGCCGCGATATCTTGAGCGCGCTACGAGAGGGATCAGACTGTTATTATATTTGAATCGTAGTTCAAGCAGGGGAAACTCACTGCCCCAGAACCCACCACATTAAAGACTTGCGCAAAGTAGATGAGGCACATGGCGAACACAACTAAGAATGTCTTTGCATGTAGATGGGGGATAGGCTCTTTCGTATCTTCGATACTTGGAATTGGAATCGGCTTTCCCATATTCTCGTAACCGGGCTCAGAAGACTGAAGTTTCTCATTCTCTGTATGGGAATGCTCGTCTAGTTGCGCTGCTGAAGCCTGCTTCTCCATGATGTCCTCGATCGTCGCGGTCCGGCTGCGAATGACGGCCAGGGAAGCAAACAGCAATCGAAATGACTAGAAAATAATATGGAAATGACGGCGCAAGAGGGGATCATTTGGATGCTGATAAATGATAGAGGTACTAGAGGAGAGGACATTGGGGTAGTGCAATTAACCGTGCACTGTCGGTAGGAGGGCGGCCACCGCACCTGCATTGGATGATTGATCATCGGAGGGGTCTCGAGCCTTGACGAGGCCAGTCTCATAGAATCAAAGAAAGAAAGGAGAAGGGAAAAAAACCATCCGGACGCCCGTGACAGGTGCAAAATATCCATGAATGCATGCATGCGATTGAACCGGGGCAGAGTGCCCAAGAAAGCGTTGAGGGCGATGCAGATCTGCAGCTCCCTATCCTGCTTCGTCCCCTCGCTCCGCTTCACTTGCGATTAAAAGCATCGATAAAACTTCCGGAATGGTGCTGGCGGTCGCGGTGGAAGTGGTAAATGTGGTGGTCGTGGTGGTGTTGGCCGTAGTCAAATGCTGGACTGGTGGACTGGTGGATGTTCAGTCAGGTTACTAAGTGACACCAATTAGCTTGCCAAGACAACTTAGTCAATGTAAGAGGGTACAAGAACTTCTCTCGCACCTGAAAACTCAAACATCCATCCATCCACCTTGACCCCCATTCTTCTTGATTCACACTTCTGGTGACTGAAGTGAACGTTGAAAATCAACCAGGATCCAACGGAACGCCATGCTACTGGATCCGGCAGTCACATCTCCCGACGTCGGATATTAGACGGCCCAGCTCAAAAGAGGATCCATCCCGGGCCGTCCCTTGAGACATACATCATGTGAAGTACATCCGGGATCCACTCCACTCCACGGGTGACGGGGCTCCTACTGGAACTAGAACTAGAACTAGAACTAGAACTAGAACTGGGACTAGCACGAGGACTAGCACGAAGACTAGCACGAAGACTAGCACGACGACTGTGCGGATGCCGATGCACAGAAAGTACTTACTACAGTAGCTAAGTAGCACCGGCGTCCCAGCTAGAGCTTATCCTGTTCAATGAGTGGTCGAAGCATCGAAGTCGAGCTTTGCCACTCGCGCCCTGCTTGCATGGCGCTGGCGTTGGCGCAAACCAGGCGGGGGATGTCTATTCCCCCAGATTTGTCTTTCCTCTAATGTGCACATCTTTCCTCCTCCTCCTCTTCCTCCTCCTCTTCATCATCCCCTCTCTCTCTTCCAGACGCCATGCCGTCGTCTATCAAACATTCTCCCTTGGATATCATCATCGTAGGAGCAGGCATTGCCGGGTTCGCAGCAGCCATCTCATGTCGGCGCGCCGGCCACCACGTCGAAATCTACGAGCGCTCAGCACTCAACAATGAACTCGGAGCTGCCATTCACGTCTGCCCCAATGCTTCCCGCGGCCTCTTGGCATGGGGACTGGATCCCGTGCAGGCACAATTTGTGACCTGCAAGAGGAGCTATAGAGCCCATGGCTCGACGCTGGTCAGGTTTCACGAGGGTGATGACACCTACGTCACGGAGAAGTTTGGTGCGCCCTGGTTCTTCGCACATCGCGTGGATTTGCATGAGGAGTTGAAGCGCTTGGCCACACGGCAGGATGGGGAGGGCAGGCCTGCGGTGGTGCATCTCAAATCCGAAGTGACTCGATATGTATGTTGATTCCATCCGAGAAGGCGTAGCCGGTAGATGGCCGAGACTGAGTGATACTTCCAAGGATACTGCAGCGGGCTCGGTCTCCCTATCGAGCGGCGAGACGGTATTCGGTGATCTAGTCATCGCGGCTGATGGGGTACATACTGGTTCAGTCGAGGCGATACTGTACGTCTGTGTTGGGTCCCAAAGTGGTGGTGGTCGCGGATGTGAGGATAACCGAGACTTTGTTGCTCTAGAGGATCTCCCAACCCGGCCTTACCCACGACAGATTACAACTTTGCGTACCGATTCTTGATTCCGACTGAGGAACTTGCTGCGGATCCGGGTAAGCTTACCCGTCCCGAAAGAAGCCAGCTCCTAGAAACGCCAAGAGATTCCCGAGACAAGCAGTTCAAAGCCCCTGCTGACTCAGGAGATAGAGACAGTCCAGTTCACGGAAGATGACGACGGCAGGGTCAAGTTTTTCGTCGGCGAAGGTAGACGCTTAGTCTGGTACCCATGCCGGGAGTACGCCCCCTGAACCTCCACTACCAAAAGCCACACACTGACAACATCGCCTCTAGCAACAAGGTCCACAACTTCGTTGCAATATTTCATAGTGACGAACAAGTCTACCGTGAAGACTGGCAGACCCACGTCGAGACTTCAGCTCTGCTTGAGACATATTCCGCGTTCCATCCATCTCTCCTAGCCGTGCTGAAGTGAGTCCCGAGTCTCTAGGTACATTTTCTGGCTCATATGGCTGACACGAATCTATGACAGAAAGGCCAAAGACGTAAAGCAATGGCCACTCCTCTTCAGAGCACCCATCTCATCATGGCACAAAGAAAAACTCGTCGCCATAGGTGATGCTGCGCACCCCATGCTGCCTCGTACGTACTCCCGTTCAGACCCTGACCATCATCACCAACCTCCTCCAGACCAAGGCCAAGGCGGCGCCCAAGCGATCGAGGATGCCGTCGCTCTAGGCATCGCACTAAGCGGATGCACACCCGCAAACCTCGACCGCCGCCTCAAGGTGTTCGAAAGTGTGCGCATGAACCGAGCAAGCGTGATGCAGATATTCTCTAGTACGCCCCCATCTCCAAGGACAACACAGTTCGCAGCAGGGGGAAAATGCTGACCTCCAATGCCGACGCTGGCCAAGACGAGCCCGAGAAAATCAGGACGGACGCCGCGAAGTTCATGCCGGCTGAGACGGTGCCGAGTAAGTCCCTTCACTTCCTCGGAGCCCGGGGTACGAGCGGCTGACGCGGGCGATCTCAGAAACGCCAGAGGAGTTTTTCGCGTACAACTTTGGATACGACGTTGTGAGAGATAGTGTGCAGGCGATGCAGCGGGAAGATGCGAGCTGGGAGCTGCCCGCGAATTTCTTTGAGCGGACCCCCGTGGCTGGAGTGTATCCTTCGCTGGAGCGAGAGGTTGACGTCGACGGTGACAGTATTGCAAAGTCTCGCTTGCTGGACTCGGGCAATGGAGGAAGGCACTTGGTTACCTATGCTGCTGACGTCTACCACTCGGTGGTCCGACAAGTCTGGCGAATCTTGAAGTCGGCGCAATATCTCGCTTAACTAAGATAAGAGAGAGATGCCTGCCTGCCTGCAAGGATACTCGGTACGCCAGTACGATTGAAGGTGCTTGTTCATCTATGCAGGTAGGTATGTATGGAGAGGTCAAAAGGTAGGGGGAAAAACTTACCCGCACGACGACAGCCTTATATATATATATATATATATCAAGCGATTCCAGCTTCAAGACAGTCATTTGAAGGCATATCATATCATATCATATCATGCCCACCCCAACCCTGCGCCAACATTCATTTCTCCTACGTAGATTCTCTTCTCTCCCGTTTCTCCCTTTCCGCCCCCATGCTATGATTTATGCTGCCATCAATCAATCAATGAATCAGCCTGTCGAATGCATTCAGTTATTCTTTTTTTTTTTTTCTTTCTTTCTTTTTTTTCTTCCAAGATGGACGAAGAAAATAGCAAGAAAAGGAAAAAGGAGAAAGGAGAAGAAAAAGGGAAAAAAATAAGAGGAAAGAGGAAAGAGAAGACGAGGAAGAAGAAAATAAGAAGGGTATTGTATCTAGACTCATATAATCAAGCGAATAACCTCCTGCTCTCATCTATCGCCGTGAAAACCGGCGCTTTGGCCAGAATCTGCCTCCCTCTCACCTCCACCGCCAAGAAGCCCGCAAACCGCACCATCAGCGTCCCATCCTCCGCAACGAACTTCCTGCCCTCGGTGCTCGATTCCGAGATGGAATTCGGCGCGCTGCTGCTGCTACTCGGCTTCCTGCTGTTCGTCCCGCTGCTCGAGCCGCCCATCATCGCGGACAGCATGGAAGACTTGCTCTTGTCTTTCTTCGATGATTTCTTCTCGCTGCCCTCCTCCCTCTCGTCCTTTTCGAGACTCCCCATGCTAGCCGAATCCGTGTCTGCCGTCTCGGCCCCGGGGTTATCCAGCGCCGGGATTCCGAGCTCGACTTTCATGTAAGAGGCGTGTACCACGTCGCCTGGCATCGGATACGTGATTGCGATATCCCGGCTCTCCAGGGGAAGGTTGGAGGCTATGCTGATAGCTAGCTCGACGATCATGTAAGCGCTTTCTTCGATCCCGGGCGGTATCGGATCTTGCAGAAAGTTGATCAGGCTGGCGGTAAGATTTGTGGCGGTCATTCTCAAGAATTCCTTCCGATATTCCTCGCTTAGAGGGGAATGTAGGGCTTCTCTGAGACCCTCTAAAGTTGCCAACCGCCATTGCACGACCTTCGCAGTCAGAGCATCCGATTCTTCTTGGCTGTTCAATACGGGCGAGAATCGACGAATATTTTTCTCTATAGCTTTCAGGTTGGTACTCAATTCCACCTCGAGCCCGGGGTGGAAGGTCCGATTAAAGATCTCGTCGACAAGAAATTTTGTTATGCAGGCTCGGCCCACTGCGGTCATCTCTTGCTTGCCAATCTTCACTGCGTCTTGATTGACCGACGGTGATAACCATGCTGGCACAGTCCGCCAGTGTTTTCGAATATTAAAAGCCAGATTGGTCGTCGCGCCATCCAGCCGTTGAAACCTCGTCATGTATTCGCTGTCGTCGAGAGATGTTCGAGACTGCGAGAGTCTTTGGTTGGCGAGAGCATTTTGTAATTGCTCGACCTGAGCAGTCTTCTCGAAGTAAAGACCCTTGACTTTCTTGTACTTGGTCACTGGGTCTGTTAGCATTCCACGGGACGGGCCAGCGTGGGTAACTCACTCAGCTCCTTGTACATTTCCGTCACCTCTCTTTCTCCGGGGACGGGAGGCGGTGTGCTCCGACCTAGCTCCCCCATACCTGTATTACTATACTCCCTTTGTATCGGCCCCCCTCTGTACACAGTTCCGGGGGTAGCACCTGGGAGAGCAGAACCCATGCCGGCAGCTGACGGTTGGCTGCCAGGGAGCTGGGCTCTGTTGTAATTTAGAGCGGAGGCGTCTCGGGGTTCTCCCTGCCCGGCTTGTAATGTCTGCTTTGTATCGCCTGGTCTACGGTTGGCAGAAGAGTTGCCAGGCTGCGCCATAGCGTGTTGTGATGGAGGGCGAGGGCCTTGGGGGGTCAAGGTAGTTCTGCTTGAGAACTCCTGGTGTTGTGGGTGGCTGAAGGAGAAGGATTGTTCGTTCGACTGCACCGAGACCGGTCGTTGTTGGTCCTCTCTGGCATCCACCTGTGATTCGAAGGAGAATTGCGAGATGGTCTCGGGGTTTCGGTGTCGCAGATCGCCTGTGAATGGTGGGGTCCTTGGTGGGTGATTGCTCACTTGCGGTTGATGACTCCGGTCTGTCGCTTGGTAGTAGTAGCCTTGCGACTCAGCTCGCCTGTGGTGCTCCTGCTGAGCCTGTTCGTCGTTCTGCGAATGAGTCGGTGGCCCTGGGTCTCCCTGTAGAGGGCGTATTGTGCGCAAGCGACCGTCTTCTCTCACAAGGCTATGCGGTCCGGGCTCCCTGGTGAGAAATGGATCCAGGTCCCCGCCGTCGTCTGGTCTGTCTTGGGGCGACGGCAAGCGCGACGTTGAATCGTGTGCCGATGGCCAGTCGAACTTGTGCAGCTCCACCAGAGTACTTTGCGAGCTTGTTTGGATGGCAGGAGTTTCCTGGCGTTTGGATTTTCTGCGAGTCAATCCAGCGGTGCTGCCGGATGAGGTGGTTCGTAGGGCAGGTGGTCTGGACTCCGGATTTTTGCTTGATCTAATGCGATCGAAGATACCCCTGCTTTTCTTGTGCTCGAAAACTCGCGAATTTTGTGCTGCGTCCCCTTGGTGTTGATGTGGTTGTGGTTGTTGATGTGGTTGTGGTTGTGGTTGTGGTTGTGGTTGTGGTTGTTGTTGTGATGGTTGTTGATATTGGAGATGTTGCGACCTCCCCGAGTTGAAAGCCAGGTCATCCGTACTCGACGAGGAGTCCTGATAGCCGTCGCTCGGTTTCCGTACAGATTGAGATGGCGAAGGGAAGTCGCCCACCGCTTGCTGTAATCGCGAATCGTAATCCGTTGCAACACCAGTCTGGGCGGCGTAGGCCGGCCGTGGTTGATGATCCAAAGCTCGGGCCGGGTCGTGTTGAGCCAAATTCAGATTCAGATTCAGATTCAGATTCAGATCCAGAATGGACGAGGCTGAACCGGAAATGCTGGGGGTTCGCGCGCCGGGATTGTTCAGAGCAGCCGACTTGGATCGATTGCTATGTTTAAAAAAGGAGGGCATCGGTCGATGATATGTGATGCGCCGTGGCCGAAGCCCTCGACACAGCAATTGAAGGGGGGGAGGGGAAGGGGGGGAT